ACCTAAAATCAATACGGTAATATCTTTTAAATCTACTCCCCCCCCCCACCAACTGTATAGGCACCTTGATATCCTTGAAATTACAGTAGGTTTTTCGTTTTATTTTCAGAGCAGTGAGCGACGTAGGAGGTTAAACATTCGCCTTAGACACGGCTCACGTCAAGGTATAATACGTTACGCTTATATATATATATATATATATATATATATATATATAGATATATATATATATAATATATATATATATATATATATATAATATATATATATATATATATATATATATATATATATATATTATATATATATAACTATATATATATATATATATATATATATATATATATATATATATATATATATATATATATATATATATATATATATATATATATATATATATATATATATATCTATATATATATATATATATATATATATAATATATATATATATATATATATATATATATATATATATATATATATATATATATATATATATATATATATATATATATATATATATATAGTATATATATTTATATATGTATATATATATATATATATATTATATATATATATATATATATATATATATTATATATATATATATATATATATATATATATTATATTTATACCACACAGATATACATACGATACTTTCATTATTTACATATTGAAAAGTGCCATCTCAAATATTTGCTTTACTAATGTTTAGTTCTAAAATTGAGCGTCGTAACCAGTGGCGTCGCAAAAGTTAAAACCTGGGTTGCCGCCCATCCGGGAGCTTAACGTTTCAGATGTGAAGCATATTTATCTTACACTCTGTTTACAAAATGAATGCTGTTACTATCTTTTTTTTCCCCCCTCAGCTTAATACTTCTCGACGAAATTCGATGGATAAACTGACACACGCCTGAGATGAATTAGAGCAACCTTTAAGGATTTATTACACCTGCACAATCATCTACTACACTGGGCAAGAAGAGACTCTTACATACAGAAGGACATTCTGGGGCCACACGTTCAGCTTTTGTTGTTCACAAGACGGACATTTACAGACAAACGTTGAGCCTTTGACCACAAGACGGGACATTCCAAAGTCACACCTTCAGCTTTTGACCACAAAACGGACATTCCCAAGCCACACGTTCAACCTTTGACCACACGATGGACAATTACCGGACGACCTCGACCCTTGACCACAAGACGGGCACACACAAACGAACCACACGTTCAACCTTTGACCGATACACACATCCGGCCCCCCACAAGACTGGAACTCTCTAGACACTAGATGACACAGCCAGACATTGAGACAAAGAACAGTTAATTAAGACGTGACAAGAAACTAACCAAATCGTGTGTACTAGTGTCCTACCGCCTACCGTAAAACACCACCATCTAATCTAGGCACGATACACAAACATCTATCACCGAACAAAACATGACTGCTTCAAAGATATTTTTTTTTAATTCGAGTTCCACCTTTATTTTAGTTCTGTACTCACAATTCTAAAGAATTAAACAGTTAACAAAATGTAAGAGTGTCTGATTTGTTTTTCATTTTTTTTAAACCGTTGTTCCATCTAATATTTGTTCTAAAAACTTTCATCTGTGTTTAGTTAAATAGTGTTTTTTTTACTTTAATTAAACATGCATTGCTCTTAAATAAAGCAAGAGTGATCTCTAAACTTTCTCGAATATGCTGTTAAAAGAGAAATACGGACAAAATTATGAAACAATTTTTTTCCGACTCGGGGAGGTGTAGAATGTCGAGATTTGTGAAAATCTCGATTTCAATTTTTTGCACGATTACTTCCTCTACACTTCGTATACGAGAAAGTAAAAAAAAAAAGCAAAAATACAATGGATTTAAAAAAAAAAACAATGATTTTCCAACAATCTCAGATTATGGCATACCTGAAGTATTCGAAATGATAACGGTTAAAGAAGTACAGGGTAATTTCTGAACATCATCAGATAACAAGGTGAAACGTGATGCTATCGACGAGGACCAAAGATATGCTTTGTATATTTAAACACAACAGTAAACGGTTTTCACAATTAACAGGCAAAACAAATTCTAATTCAAAATTATAGTAAGACACAATTGGATTGAATATTAAATATTTTTATTACTGTAATGTATACGAGTATAAAACACCGTGAACTAACAGCTTTGATAAAAATAAGTCAAAAGGTTTACATGTTTCACGCGAAAGTTCTTTCGGTTGTCTCAAACTTTTTGTTTTTTTTCTTTTAATCTGCTCTACAAAGTTAACCTTGATATTTTAAGTTGGATGACTCAACACAACACTTGGATGTTTCCCCGAATTTATATTACACCTGTATATATCCTCTCGCTGTATTGTCTAGATATATCTGTTACGTATGCCGTCCATTTGAGAATACCAGAATCCTTTTTCAATTTGATAAGCCGGTACATTTCTTAATCTCTCTACACCCTCTTAGATAACTATTCCTCTCACATTGTATGGTGTTTTGAAAAGTTCGACTGGCGTAGTTAGGCAGATGGAAATATGATTGTTTCAGAAATAAATGTTTATTTACTTAAAGAATTTCAAGCATTTCTAATTTTGATCTTACTGGCATTATTGATTTCTTGTCAATGACGTCTAGTACATTCGGAAGTGTTTTGATGTGCGTTAGAGTGCTGCTGAGATGTGTCAAGAGGTGAGATTGTGAAACAAGAATGTGTGTGTACTTTGTGATGGATCGTGTTGCTGTGGTACACAGTTGGTGTTGGTGTGGTACACAGTTGGTGTTGGTGTGGTACACAGTTGGTGTTGGTGTGGTACACAGTTGGTGTTGGTGTGGTACACAGCTGGTGTTGGTGTGGTACACAGTTGGTGTTGGTGTGGTACACAGTTGGTGTTGGTGTGGTACACAGTTGGTGTTGGTGTGGTACACAGTTGGTGTAGTACACAGTTGGTGTTGGTGTGGTACACAGCTGGTGTTGGTGTGGTACACAGTTGGTGTTGGTGTGGTACACAGCTGGTGTTGGTGTGGTACACAGTTGGTGTTGGTGTGGTACACAGCTGGTGTTGGTGTGGTACACAGTTGGTGTTGGTGTGGTACACAGCTGGTGTTGGTGTGGTACACAGTTGGTGTTGGTGTGGTACACAGTTGGTGTTGGTGTGGTACACAGTTGGTGTTGGTGTGGTACACAGTTGGTGTTGGTGTGGTACACAGTTGGTGTTGGTGTGGTACACAGTTGGTGTTGTTGTATTACACAGTTGGTGTTGGTGTGGTACACAGTTGGTGTTGGTGTGGTACACAGTTGGTGTTGCTGTGGTACACATCTGTTGTCTTTCTGTTAACTGGGAGGGGCGCTAACCCGGCTGGATGTTCGTGGGAAGTATTTGAGACCAACTGAAGTGCGCCTGCGCAACACTGGGGCGGGGACGGACTCAGCTCGCCTCATTGGTATAAATTCTGTAAAAAGTAGGGATGTCATTTTTACAAAATGTCTTTTCCAAATGTCATTTTTACAAAATATCATTTTTACAAAATGTCATTTTTACAACAAAATCAAAGAAAAAATATCCCCCCCCCCCCTTCCCCACCATCTCACCAGACCGGAACTTTATTGATTACACTTAGGCTTTCAACTTTTATATGACTCGGTCGGTTTGTTATAGTGAATGAACATTTTGTTTTCAGCAAGCAAACTATGATCTAAAAGGCACAAACAATCAATACTAAAGGGGAAGAAATACGACCTATGAATGCCGTGTTACACTATAAACAACCCAGGTCTATTCATGTTCGTATTATCTTTCGCCTTCCTGTTCTTCTTATTCATTCGATTTTATCAGCATACGGTCGACTTAAGGTTTAGAATACCCTAGACCAAGATGATATCAGCATACGGTCGACTTAAGGTTTAGAATACCCTAGACCAAGATGATATTAGCATACGGTCGACTTAAGGTTTAGAATACCCTAGAACAAGATGATAACGCAATTCTGAAAAGACCATAGCATTAGGAGAACAAAACAAAATTACCAGAAAGTTTATCAAATCGCAACTACAAATTATGAATTTTCCCAAGCGGAATTTCGAAACTGTTTTTATTAGTTGAATAACATGTTTGATGAGATAAATTAGATATTTCAAAGAATAACAATTTCGAAAGAAAATAAGTCTCTAAGAAAATTCTAGAAAAGCAAAAGTATTAAAACGTCGAATATATATATATATATATATATATATATATATATATATATATATATATATATATATATATATATATATATATATATAAAGATAGAGAGAGAGGGAGAGAGAGAAAATAAAAGAGAATTTTCAATCATAATATTATTACATTTTTTCCGGTTCTGTTTTGGAGTAGAAACACTAAAAACCAGCATGTAGGTTGAAACATCGCTTACCTAGAAGAATTTCAAATATCAAATTTGTCACCGTGAAGCAATAATCCATGTATATAAAAATGTCCCCTACTACAGCCGCAAGACCGGCAGCGTAAATCCATCTGTTGATCAAATAAAGACGTGCGAATAGATGGCTATAACATGGCGACGTGTGTGTTGGGTTTTGTTGTAGAGGAATGGACATCGGAAGTCTAGAAATGTCACTGTAGAGCTATTTATGCTTAGACCCCCCCCCCCCCCCCCCCCCCATAAAGAGACCGACCAAGGAAGACCTGGAGACGTGACCTGGAAGAAGACACTAAGAAGATCGGAGACACCTGGAACATCTAGAAAGACTAGCTCAGAACAGAGTTGCCTGGAAAGCTCATCAGTGTTTCTTGCAGACTTTTTTCTCCGGGGGGGGCACTTGAAATTTTCGGGGGGGGGGGGCGGTAGACTTTCTTCGGGGGGGGGGGGGCGGACACTGTTAAAAGTATATATTTTCTATATAAATTATATAAATTTCATTACGTTCGGGGGGGGGGGGGGAAGGGGGAGGGGCGGTAGAATTTTTTCGAGGGGGCTTTGCCCCCCCCCCCCTCCCGAAGAGATGCCTGGAAGAAACTCTGAAGCTCATGTCCTCGGCTTATATCACGGGGGGGGGGGGGGGCGACAGGTTAACCTAACGTAACTTGAGGTTGGATACGCCTATGAACATACCGCCAGCAACATTCTTGTCTGTCAATCTCCCCGCAACACCCGTGCTTGCATAGCTCGTAGATGTATGTGCTGTTGCCGTGGTAGATAAAGCAAGCCTTGTGATCTGGGGACAGGAACTGTTGCTTAGTTGTTGCAAGTCGCTGATATTTCCTCCTGCTTGTCGTACTATTTATTTTTAGTCGACTATTATTAGCCTCAAATGTTTACACCTTGACTTGTTTGTATGTAGTCCTAAATTTTACTAGGTGTAAAATACTAAATTACTAAAACTATTTAAAAAACTATGGAAACGGCGTTGTCGGGTGTTAGATCTCGTGACTTCTACCCCGAAAGCATCGAGTTCAGATCCTGGGCTCTATCTCGTATGCCGAGGTTATTGTAAAAGATGCGCTCTACTTCATCTACCTCATGTGTTTTGGGCATAAAAGGTAAAATGGCATCTACTATACTAATAAAGAGGGACTAACAATGAGTGTGGGACGGAGTGGTCTAGCGGTAGAGAGCTGGACTGCTAACCCGTAAGCCTCGGGTTCGAATCATATGCCGAGGTCACAAAAACAAGTGAACACTACTTCACTTGCCCCATAGACCGTCAGGTTTGAAAGGGAAACTTTTACTTACTTTCGCAGTGAGTGTGGAATGTGTGAACATAAAATATGCAGTGTTTTATTTTGCCGACAAAAATTACATGAAATATTTTTTTTTAAAAGTTTTCACCATATGTTACAATGGATTAGCTTTCAGAGTTCTCTATCGACTTACCATGGTCCTTATGTGCCCACAGTCGGATGGACAAGCATACTGTTGAGTGAGGAAAAAAAACGGATAAACGATCTCGTTCTACAAAATATTTTAAAAAATAATTGCATCTGTTTATCAGTATTCAAAAACACAATTTTACACACACACACATACACACGCACACACATACACACGCACACACACACAACGCATAAACAATATCACCAGAGAGGAATACCCCCAAGGAAAGGAAAAAGTAGGCAGACAAAAAGAAATCGGAAAAGTAGGCAGACAAAAGAAATCGGAAAAGTAGGCAGACAAAAGAAATCGGAAAAGTAAGCAGACCGAAAGAAATCGGAAAAGTAGGCAGACCGAAAGAAATCGGAAAAGTAGGCAGACCGAAAGAAATCGGAAAAGTAGGCAGACAAAAGAAATCGGAAAAGTAGGCAGACCGAAAGAAATCGGAAAAGTAGGCAGACCGAAAGAAATCGGAAAAGTAGGCAGACCGAAAGAAATCGGAAAAGTAGGCAGACCGAAAGAAATTGGAAAAGTAGGCAGACCGAAAGAAATCGGAAAAGTAAGCAGACCGAAAGAAATCGCAAAAGTAGGCAGACCGAAAGAAATCGGAAAAGTAAGCAGACCGAAAGAAATCGGAAAAGTAGGCAGACCCAAAGAAATCGGAAAAGTAGGCAGACCGAAAGAAATCGGAAAAGTAGGCAGACAAAAGAAATCGGAAAAGTAGGCAGACCGAAAGAAATCGGAAAAGTAGGCAGACCCAAAGAAATCGGAAAAGTAGGCAGACCGAAAGAAATCGGAAAAGTAGGCAGACCGAAAGAAATCGGAAAAGTAGGCAGACAAAAGAAATCGGAAAAGTAGGCAGACAAAAGAAATCGGAAAAGTAGGCAGACAAAAGAAAACGGAAAAGTAGGCAGACCGAAAGAAATCGGAAAAGTAGGCAGACCGAAAGAAATCGGAAAAGTAGGCAGACCGAAAGAAATCGGAAAAGTAGGCAGACCGAAAGAAATCGGAAAAGTAAGCAGACTGAAAGAAATCGGAAAAGTAGGCAGACCGAAAGAAATCGGAAAAGTAGGCAGACCGAAAGAAATCGGAAAAGTAAGCAGACCGAAAGAAATCGGAAAAGAAGGCAGACCGAAAGAAATCGGAAAAGTAGGCAGACCGAAAGAAATCGGAAAAGTAGGCAGACCGAAAGAAATCGGAAAAGTAAGCAGACCGAAAGAAATCGGAAAAGTAGGCAGACCGAAAGAAATCGGAAAAGTAGGCAGACAAAAGCAGACCGATGAAATCGGAAAAGATTAACTGTCAATGAAGCGGGTTTAGGACAAAAGGCCGACATCCAAAAGGCCGAAAAGACAAAAGGCCGACACGGACAAAAGGCCGACAGCCAAAAGGCCGACAGGACATAAGGCCGACAAGACATAAAGCCGACAGCCAATAGGCCTTTTGGATGTCGGCCTTTTGGCAGTCGGCCTCTTGTCTTGTCGGCCTTTTGTCCATGTCGGCCTTTTGTCCGTGTCGGCCTTTTATCCGTGTCGGCCTTTTGTCCGTGTTGGCCTTTTGTCCATGTCGGCCTTTTGTCCGGATCCCCAATGAAGCATACGCTGTCGGAGTGTCATGGAGTTCAATGGAGTGGTGTCGATGAAGAGGTGTCGATGGAGAGGTGTCGCTCGAGAGGTGTCGATGGAGAGGTGTCGTTGGAGAGGTGTCGTTGGATAGGTGTCGATGGAGAGGTGTCGTTGGAGAGCTGTCGATGGATAGGTGTCGTTGGAGAGGTGTGGATAGAGAGGTGTCGATGGAGAGGTGTCGTTGGAGAGGTGTCGTTGGAGAGGTGTTGATGAAGAGGTGTCGTTGTTCCCTACAATCCACAAGGGACCCACATGAATGATGATGATGATGATGATGATGATGATAGTGATGATGATGATGATGATAGTGATGATGATGATAGTGATGATGATGATGATGATAGTGATGATGATGATGATGAACTACCCTCTAGACTTTACTTTTTTCTTCTTATAATTCCATTCAGCTCCCTATAGTGAATACAACCGGGACGACGCTTCGAAATGCTTTTGATTGGTGGTTATTTTTTGCCATGGTAATTCAGCTTCCCCTCCCTCCTCTCTTTCAGACGATCTCACTACAGTTCCATAATATCGTTACGTTTCTCTTCTAGTTTGTTTTATTTGGTTAAGTTTTTAAAATGCATATTTTGATTACAACCATCGTTTAGCGTAATAGCGCCGTTTGTTACACTTAATCCACAGACATCACACTATAAACATCAGCATTCAATTCCATTTTTTTTTTCTTAGATAATGTCATTTACTTACTCCAGTTTCAAGCTGATATTTTTATTTACTCTTTTGTGTGTAGACCTATCTCATCTGACTAAACTAGCTAACGAATCATAATTTCATTTTAATAAAATTTTAGATAAAAATTACATTAGTTTAATTTTGCCTGTAGAAACATCCAATTTATTTATTTATGAGTGTTGTGCAAAATATTTATATTTTTATATACTAATAATTTACCAACCTATTTGGATACCGAAGCTTATCGACCAGTAAACGAGCTTGTATTTAGATCTGGTTAATGCCATTTGATGTTTTCAGTTTTTCACACTGTTGTTTATGTTGTGACGGAAGTTTCAGATATTGCCAGAAAATGACGTCAACTTTTGAGTTGCCAGAAAGCAATTTTTGTGGCCAAAGTGTTGTTTTAACCCATATTCTGCTAGCGTCCCACTTATGGGACGCTTGTAAAAAAAATTGCTAAAATTTATTAAAAACTAGTTAAAACACAAATTATGTTTCATTGTATTTGAAAATGGTTAGACTATTGAATTTATGTGTGTTTTGTGAAAAAAATTAATTTAGTAAAATGTTATAGTGCCGGATTTGAAGGACTTGTCAAAATGGCGGAAAAAAGAAAATATGCGCACAGGAAAATGCATATCTTCTAAAATATTAACATTTTAAGTGCAAAATACATTTGAAACTTGTAGCAGTACCATATTTCTATCTGATACAAATTTAAGAATAACAATTTTTTTTTACTACTTCGTTATATCAAGTGTACAACAAGCGTCCCATAAGTGGGACGCTAGCAACGAATGGCCCCATGTAGATTGTTACACAAACGTCACATTTATTGGACACTAGCGAGAAACACATATGCAAATGTTTATGTTAAATGGTTATTTATGATGAAACAATTGTTGACTATGTTAACTCCTGACTTTGGGGTGTTAAGTACTATTTATAGATATTTAATTATGACCTTGACCTATATTTATGGAGATTGTTACACAAACGTCACATTTATTGGACACTAGCGAGAAACACAGATGCAAATATTTATGTTAAATGGTTAATTATGGTTAAACAATTGTTGACTTTGTTAACTGTTGACTTTAGGGTGTTAAGTATTATTTATAGATATTTAATTATGACCTTGACCTATATTTTCTTATATATTATTGTATTAAAAATTGCAAATATTGAAAAACTTACATTTTATTTTTAAGTTTTCAGAATTACGCTTACTGAAGTATTTAATATCATTGAATACAAACTAATTTATTATTGCTGTAAATTTAGTAGCGCGTGATATTAAAATTATAACAAACCAGAATAATAACAATGGCCACGCGCCCACGATTGAGGTGAAATGATTCATTCAAGAGGGTTGGATAACTCTCTTCATATAAGAGCTCAAGCTACATATAGCAGAAATAAGAATTAGCTGTGTACTATTGTCATGCCCCAATAAAATTCCCATCCAAAGGTTCCCGATACCAGTTTTACGTTGTTAACATTTTAAGGAGAGTCCAGGTGTTAGATTGGGAGCTGTTCGCATAGTGAGGTGCATACATGGATGAGAGCCATGAACACTCAATACAAGCCCCCAGAAACAAATCCGTGCCCTAGACATAAGATGTCTGATGTCCTAATGTACGCCTGTGGGGGGGGGGGGGGGGGGTGAATAGCGAGGGTAACAAAAGAGAAGATGGCTGGATGACATCTGGGACTGGACCGGATCGTCTTTTGCGAATTCACTGAGGGCAGAGTTTCTTTCATGCATCATTTCGGAGAGGGGTGGGGGGGGGGGGGGGGCTCTGCCCCCAGAACAAAATGGAATTTATCTACAAAACATACTTTTACCAATGTACACCCTTCCCTGAAATTTAAGTCCCCCCCCCCCCTGAAAATTTCAAGTACGCCCCCCAAAAAATCAATTATTTATATTTAATTATAGTACCGTTTCGATGAATAGTAACAATATTTGTGATCATGTGTGTATAATTAGATGTACTAGTAACAGCTTTACTTATTTCCAAGTGTTGTTCACTTTGATGGATGCTAGATTGAAAGAAAACTAGACTTTTGAACAAAATTTCTGCATTTTAGACCATGGTATGGCTAACCCAATTGATCATTATCATTATTTTTAGCTGTCCTAAACAATGTTATCATTGGTCTAATAATACAAAATCAGTATACAGTTTAATTTTCGCGTAATTAGCCATATTTCGTGATAAATGATTTTATTTTTCAATAAATGTACATGGGGCCGTTCGTAGCTAGCGTCCCATTTATGGGACGTTTTTTAAAAAATCGATATTTAAAAAAGTATTGATTTAAAAAAAAAATCCATAGTCATTCCTTCATTCAGTGCCCAAAAGCTAAACCATATCAAAAAATTATAAAAATTTGAGACCTTGGGATAATATGGGTAATCGATATTTGAGAGTTCAAAAATGTCGACGGCAGGAGATTATAGAAAGGGGGTGAAAGGGGGGGGGTGCAATAGAAATTAAGCTTACACCATTTCATTTCCACAACATCTACAATAATCGTAGAAATTATTGATTTCTTAGAGTTATTTTTTACTGTCAAAACTCTTATAACTTGATGACTGTCTTCATTAAATAGCTATGGAAAAGTAAACCTTCTAGTACGAGGCTGGTACTTTTTTAGCCCTTCAAAAAGTGAAATTTCACTAGGATTTGTGTACATTCTGCCTCTTGTTAGCATTACCTTCTTTTTTCAACAATATATCTTTTCTAAATTAAAGATTGATGGCAAAAAAAAAAACCTAATATCGCGAATTCGTCGAAATTAATAAGTAAGAAATAAAATAACAATATACATGTTTTTCAAGAAACAGTTTTTTTAATTTTTGTATTAAATGGTAACAGGTTAGAAGAAAATCCTATAACAAAATAGTAACTACACCCAATGGCGCTACCAGAGGGGTACGGCCAGCCCCGGCTGCCACCCTACCTAGTGACGCCACTGGCTACTCCCAAGATCACTGGGGTTCTATCAAGGTTGCTGTCGATTGTACAGAGAAGAAAGAGTTTGAGCATCACAGAGGACTAATGAAGACATGAAGTGAAACAATGTACAAAAATTTCAATTGGCATAAGGGTCAATGTTGCATGCAAAAAATACTGGAATGTGGACTACTATGACAAAAATAAAATATTGATTAACCCACACCACAAGTTTCTATACTGTAAAGTATGACAGTTTTCATTATAATTTAATTATACAATAATGATTTAAATTATAATTAAATTAACAAAAAAAATCCATTATATTTACTCATTCCAAATCTCAGAAGGACGACAGAAGATTAAATAAATTGGAATATTGTACACAATTAAAATTGACCCATACAAATGTATTATGCCCATGTCAGTTTTTTGTCTTAATATAAACGAGTCAGGTACTTTGTTTAAAATAACATATCTATTTTAAATTATTTTTATTATTTCTATGTAACAATAGGCAATATAATTCAACTGACTATGGTAGATAAACCACAGACATTTTAACCCTTACAATCGTGAATCGTGACGTTCTCACAGCAGTTTAAGGTTAGGGTAAACGCTGAGTTTGTGTCAGCAGAAGGGATGTCAGAGTGACAGTAGAGTGATTAGCTAATTAGCTAATTAATAATGATAGTCTAGCTAACAAAAAAATTAACACCTCATTAAAATAGACAAATACTTGATAGCCCATGGCAGTAATGTATCCCTCAAAAAAAATATACCGGGCATTTTTTCAAAACTCCCTGAAAATTTAAGCTTTTTAAAAGTTATTTAACAAAAATACTTTTCTCAATTATTTTACACTGTAGCTAGAGTTCCAAGCACTTAAAGCAGTTATACTACATTTTGAAGTATCACTAACACAGTAATAACTATGTAAATTGTAACACCCACCGTTGTAACATGCTCTCAGATAGGCTTGTGTAATATATGACTGGGATAATGTACATTGTATCATAGAGCTAAAGGGACGCTAGTCAGATAAGAATCCAAATCAATGAAAGCACAGGGAAATAACTGTGTCCTGTCATGTTTTGGTATATATATATATATATATATATATATATATATATATATATATATATATATATATATACATTTACCTACTGCATTATTTCGCTGATACTAGACTTTTCATCATCATGTAAAGGGATACTAAAGTTCATACATCATAAAGTCTTTTATTATGCCGAATAAGAATTATAGCAAATTAATATATTGCATACACATTTCATCATTACTGTTCATGCAATGTATATAAAAACATTTTCAAAACGATCAGGCCTCAGATACATTAAAAATACAACTTGTAAAACAAATAAGCAAGTATCACTTTTTTAAAAATATATACAAAAATGTACACTCAATTCGTGTTGGTAAGACATAGTTTGATATGAGCAAATGTTGGGTGCTTATTGTTAAATAAGAATTTGTTGAATAAAAATCTCATCACATAAGTAGACCACAGACAACGTTAACATGTAGTTGAATGATAAAATGTAGATGGCAACATGTTTAATTTAATATTAACGCTCTGCGATAAGGAATTGTTTTCAGTCCAGTAACACTAAACACGGCAGGTTAAACAAATAATCGGTCAAGCTTGAGTGACTATGCTCTAAGCTCCCAGCTAAGTAGACCTACCTTATAACCAACTCATTTGACACTGATATCTCGTACATTTCATACAATAAACTGACTCACGATAGTTGATGATATATATATATATATATATATATATATATATATATATATATATATATATATATAATATCAAATATATACGAGGAAAATAAAAGCACCCCGGGCCCCATAACAACAGACTGCCTAAGCCACTGAGCTAAAAATAAGTATACAGACGTTTTTCTGACTAATGTAGCAAATATCTGCAGTCACTCCTAAATGCTTACATACAATAAAGTAGGCTACCCGAGGCAGGTGAAGTAGAATTCACATGTTTTAGTGTATTCTGCGTATGAAGGGATATTGAGGTCTGCACTGTGACCCACCGATTTTACTTTCCCTAATGCGAGTCATCGGACCTGGATGGACCCTGGGACGTCCTATGGAATAGATAACGGATCGCAAATCGACCCCGTGATCAGAAATCGATCCCGGGTTCAGGAATTGATACTGTCTGGCCTGACCACGCTTACAAAAGAATGTCGAGAAAGCTAATGTTGTGCTTGTATAAATAAATACACATTCGTTTAAAAGCTAATTAAGCATACGATTACATGATTCCAATAATTACAGCGGACTATTAGCTCTATCAATGATATCACATTTAAACGTTAGCAAACAACAAGTTACTGTAGTTTCTATATTTACTTGATTGTCATGTAAGCAACAAGGTCATTAATAAACATTCAGAGTTTTAAAATTATGCACAAAAACAAGAAATGAATATCAGGCCAAAGAACATTAGAAGCAAAGGATTATAATTACTTTAAGCATATACACAGTTTACATTATGTCTTTTATTATAAATTATAATCTGTAATAGAATGTTTTTATATTAATTGCATATAAGTATTTAATTAATCTCAAGAGTAACGACAGTTTAAAAAATAAAAACGTCAATGAATATCCTGTAAAAGAAACAAAATTCATACAATTTTGAAAACCAAATACGGCAAGAACTTTAAAACTTTGCACAAACAAGTTTGACAGGTTCGTTTTTAATGTAATGAAGTAGTGATGAGTATTTTCTTCCAGAATGTTCCATACAGATGAGCGAACTAGAGATGCATGTTCAGATGGGGGTCCTGATGAGTGAACTAGGGATGTGGGTCCTGACTAAAAGTCTATATCCCATCCAACTAGGGATGTGGGTCCTTACTAAAAGTCTATATCCCATCCAACTAGGGATGTGGGTCCTGACTAAAAGTCTATATCCCATCCAACTAGGGATGTGGGTCCTGACTAAAAGTCTATATCCCATCCAACTAGGGATGTGGGTCCTGACTAAAAGTCTATATCCCATCCAACTAGGGATGTGGGTCCTGACTAAAAGTCTATATCCCATCCAACTAGGGATGTGGGTCCTGACTAAAAGTCTATATCCCATCCAACTTGGGATGGGGGTCCTGACTAAAAGTCTATATCCCATCCAACTAGGGATGTGGGTCCTGACTAAAAGTCTATATCCCATCCAACTAGGGATGTGGGTCCTGACTAAAAGTCTATATCCCATCCAACTTGGGATGGGGGTCCTGACTAAAAGTCTATATCCCATCCAACTAGGGATGTGGGTCCTGACTAAAAGTCTATATCCCATCCAACTAGGGATGTGGGTCCTGACTAAAAGTCTATATCCCATCCAACTAGGGATGTGGGTCCTGACTAAAAGTCTATATCCCATCCAACTTGGGATGTGGGTCCTGACTAAAAGTCTATATCCCATCCAGATAGCTCATCGGGAGCGATGTCCATGTCACGTGGGTAGCTGTCGAAGTTGCTGGTGTCTGTTGGTGTCTTCACCTGCAACCACAATCATCAGATACAGCTTTAGAGCATTGGACACATAAAATAGACAGAGAGAGAGAGAGGGGGGGGGGTTAGTTGGACAAAGGTAAATATAGGGTGGACAGAGAGAGAGGGACAATGTTTCTTCCAGGCATCTCTTCGGGGGGCGCAAAGCCCTCCCCCCCCCCCCCGAAAAAATTCTACCGCCCCCCCCCCCCGAACGAAATAAAATTTATATAATTTATATAGAAAAAATATACTTTTCACAGTGTCCGCCCCCCCCCCCCCCCGAAGAAAGTCTACCCCCCCCCCCCCCCGGAGAAAAAGTCTGGAAGAAACACTGGAGAGGGACATTTCGACACAAAGGAAAGGTAGATAGACAAAGAAAGGGACATTTGTACAAAGAAAAAGAAAGGTGGACTGAGAGAGGAGCATTTGGACAAAAGGAAAGATAGTTGGACATAGAGATGTGAAACGTTTACTGGAAAGTTGACCTCATATTTGTAACTTTAAAAAATAAAGCCTTTATCACAATGAAAAGAAAGCACAGCTAAAAATGTTAACTCTTAGATTTATTTCAGGATAAACATTAATAGAAGCCAATACCAAATTTTATAACTTGTCTTACATGAAAAACATATACAGTTGGTGATTAATTCTAAATACCTTTGGTATAATTGGTGGCGTCATAGTAAGATTCATAAGTCCTTCCCAGTCAAATCCTTGAAACCATCTACTCAAAATATCAAATAAAAATATTTTAAATCCCATCTATGCAAAGTACTCAATGCGATTTTAGAAATTATTTTCAGAAATTTAATATATGTATCATATAAAATGCAAATATGAAAACTTTAACGTATTTATTAAATAATCTATAAACAATACCTATCTACATAAATATTTAATTATATACTTTTAAAACTGATTCATCGAATTTTTTTTTTACATTTTCACTACACTATTTTCGGCATTGTTATCAATGTTTTGTTACATATTTGTCATAGACAAACGAGTGCTTGTTGTCATTCAAAACTTCTCTTCCATGTTCCTATCGGCAGGCTTTTTTTTTTAGTTAAATAAGGAAATTAATCACCTGTTTATTTCTAAAATCCAATTTTTCGTTAAACCAAACATCTCATATGACAACTAAAACAAACTTCACGTAAATGTTCTTGTTTTATTTCTAACTAGGCATACTGCCTAGCTTCGCTTAGGTTTTTAAAAAACATTGAGAATTTGAATACTTAATAATTTAGCGATGGGTTGGGTGTGGAGTGCTTTAAATTAAACGGTAATGCTATCTTTAGAAAAAATGTTTTTGTTGGTCATTTAAATGCCGTTCTCAAAGAAATATTGGAAAGTACGCAATCTATAACTAAAACGGAATTAGAACTACACAGGTTCCATAAACAGTATATCTAACAGTTTATATTACATTGCCTTTTGAAATTTATTTGATTATTTAATTAGGATACGTAACTGAATAAACAACTTAATTTTGTACTAAAACAAATGCTATACTTCGTCATTTTCTGTTTCGGTTGAAAATAGTATACAATTATTTGAAAAATAATAATTTTAAAAACGTTACCTCCCTTGAAAACTGAAGGTATTACGTATGTCTTTGTTTACTGTTTTTTGCAAACAGTTGCTATGCTTAGATAAGAAATTACGGTATATGAACATAGTTAACGACTATAATGGCTGTTTCCGACGGGAATAAAGTTTTTTTGTTAATCTACAGGGTCGGTCTACGACGTCATATAATACTAAGGGGATCATTCGTCAATTTATTTAAATATATATCTCATATAAGGAGAATTTCACTCACGATCATCTTTTAGCCCTCGTCGAGGGCTTTGAGTCTGACCAACAGTTTTTCCATACGGCCTAGTCATCTATAGTAGTGTATGCAAAAACTTAGCATGATGTACAGACGTTAAGTAACCTAAAAATTGTGTTAAAATTTCCCTGTTTTTGCGATAAAATACAAAGATTATATAGGGAAATACGACTGGTCAGTTTTGACCCATTTCAAGATTTTTCCAGAACATGGCGAGTTTTTTGTGACACCCCCAGGCATTCTCCTACCACCTCACAAAATTTCAAAGGGGGTCGTCGGAGCAAAATTTTTTTCGTAATATAGCTCATATAATGAGAATTTCACTCGCGGTCACTTTTTAGCCCTCGTCGAGGGCTTTGAGTCAAACCGACAGTTTTCCATAAAGGTCAAGCCATTGACCTAAACGTATGCAAAAAATTAGCCAGATATACTGAGTTTATGTACACTAAAGTCTGCGTTGAAATGACCCTCTGTTTTCCCCATAAAATACAAAGATTATATAGGGAAATACGACTGGTCAGTTTTGACCCATTTCCCGATTTTTCCCAGACATGGCGAGTTTTTTGTGACACCCCCAGGCATTCTTCTACCACCTCACAAAATTTCAAGGGGGGTCGTCGGAGGAAATTTTTTTTCGTAATATAGCTCATATAAAGAGAATTTCACTTGCGGTCACTTTTTAGCCCTCGTCGAGGGCTTTGAGTGAAACCGACATGTCTGCCCTACGGCCAAGCCATTTACCTATAAGCATGCCAAAACGTAGCCAGATGTAAAGAAGGTAAGTGCCCTAAAATCCGTTTTGAAATGACCCTCTGTTTTCCCCATAAAATACAAAGATTATATAGGGAAATACGACTGGTCAGTTTTGACCCATTTCCCGATTTTTCCCAGACATGGCGAGTTTTTTGTGACACCCCCAGGCATTCTTCTACCACCTCACAAAATTTCAAGGGGGGTCGTCGGAGGAAATTTTTTTTCGTAATATAGCTCATATAAAGAGAATTTCACTTGCGGTCACTTTTTAGCCCTCGTCGAGGGCTTTGAGTGAAACCGACATGTCTGCCCTACGGCCAAGCCATTTACCTATAAGCATGCCAAAACGTAGCCAGATGTAAAGAAGGTAAGTGCCCTAAAATCCGTTTTGAAATGACCCTCTGTTTTCCCCATAAAATACAGAGATTATATAGGGAAATACGACTGGTCAGTTTTGACCCATTTCCCGATTTTTCCCAGACATGGCGAGTTTTTTGTGACACCCCCAGGCATTCTTCTACCACCTCACAAAATTTCAAGGGGGGTCGTCGGAGGAAATTTTTTTTCGTAATAGAGCTCATATAAAGAGAACTTCACTCGCGGTCACTTTTTAGCCCTCGTCGAGGGCTTTGAGTGAAACCGACATGTCTGCCCTACGGCCAAGCCATTTACCTATAAGCATGCCAAAACTTAGCCAGATGTAAAGAAGGTAAGTGCCCTAAAATCCGTTTTGAAATGACCCTCTGTTTTCCCCATAAAATACAAAGATTATATAGGGAAATACGACTGGTCAGTTTTGACCCACTTCCCGATTTTTCCGAGATATGCCGAGTTTTTTGTGACATCCCAACGCATTCTCCTACCACCTCACAAAATATCAAGGGGGGTCGTCGGAGGAAATTTTTTTCCGTAATAGAGCTCATATAAAGAGAATTTCACTCGCGGTCACGTTTTAGCCCTCGTCGAGGGCTTTGAGTGAAACTGACAGGTCAGCCGTACGGCCAAGCCATTTACCTATAAACATGCCGAAAATTAGCGAGATGTAAAGAGGGTAAGTGCCCTAAAATCCGTTTTGAAATGACCCTCTGTTTTTCCCATAAAATACAAATATTATATAGGGAAATACGACTGGTCAGTTTTGACCAACTTCCCGATTTTTCCGAGATATGCCGAGTTTTTTGTGACACCCCTAGGCGTTCTCCTACCACCTCACAAAATTTCAAGGGGGGTCGTCGGAGGAAATTTTTTTTCGTAATATAGCTCATATAAAGAGAATTTCACTCGCGGTCACTTTTTAGCCCTCGTCGAGGGCTATGAGTGAAACCGACATGTCTGCCCTACGGCCAAGCCATTTACCTATAAGCATGCCAAAACTTAGCCAGATGTAAAGAAGGTAAGTGCCCTAAAATCCGTTTTGAAATGACCCTCTGTTTTCCCCATAAAATACAAAGATTATATAGGGAAATACAACTGGTCAGTTTTGACCCCTTTACGAAGTTTTCCCAGATATGCCGAGTTTTTTTTGACACCCCAAGGCATTCTCCTACCACCTCACAAAATATCAAGGGGGGTCGTCGGAGGAAATTTTTTTTCGTAATAGAGCTCATATAAAGAGAATTTCACTCGCGGTCACTTTTTAGCCCTTGTCGAGGGCTTTGAGTGAAACTGACAGGTCAGCCGTACGGCCAAACCATTTACCTATAAACATGCCGAAAATTAGCGAGATGTAAAGAGGGTAAGTGCTCTAAAATCCGTTTTGAAATGACCCTCTGTTTTTCCCATAAAATACAAAGATTATATAGGGAAATACGACTGGTCAGTTTTGACCAACTTCCCGATTTTTCCGAGATATGCCGAGTTTTTTGTGACACCCCTAGGCGTTCTCCTACCACCTCACAAAATTTCAAGGGGGGTCGTCGGAGGAAATTTTTTTTCGTAATATAGCTCATATAAAGAGAATTTCACTCGCGGTCACTTTTTAGCCCTTGTCGAGGGCTATGAGTGAAACCGACATGTCTGCCCTACGGCCAAGCCATTTACCTATAAGCATGCCAAAACTTAGCCAGATGTAAAGAAGGTAAGTGCCCTAAAATCCGTTTTGAAATGACCCTCTGTTTTCCCCATAAAATACAAAGATTATATAGGGAAATACGACTGGTCAGTTTTGACCCACTTCCCGATTTTTCCGAGATATGCCGAGTTTTTTCTTACACCCCTAGGCGTTCTCCTACCACCTCACAAAATTTCAAGGGGGGTCGTCGGAGGAAATTTTTTTTCGTAATATAGCTCATATTAAGAGAATTTCACTCGCGGTCACTTTTTAGCCCTCGTCGAGGGCTTTTAGTGTAACCGACATGTCTGCCCTACGGCCAAGCCATTTACCTATAAGCATGCTAAAACTTAGCCAGATGTAAAGAAGGTAAGTGCCCTAAAATCCGTTTTGAAATGACCCTCTGTTTTCCCCATAAAATACAAAGATTATATAGGGAAATACGACTGGTCAGTTTTGACCCCTTTACGAAGTTTTCCCAGATATGCCGAGTTTTTTGTGACTGCCCAAGGGGTTCTCCTACCACCTCACAAAATTTCAAGGGGGGTCGTCGGAGGAATTTTTTTTTCTTAATATAGCCCATATAAGGCGCCGGTCAGTCGAGGTCAGTTTTGACCCCCTCTCCGTAGACTTTTCGGCCAACTGTCACCGGCCCTCGTGTTCTATTGCCCCAAGGCACCATCGTGCCAAATTTGACGCGCCTGCGGCGCCGGGAAGTGCCCTATCGGGCACCCGACCACTTTGCTTTATATATATAGATGTTACCAATCCGATTTTTCTTAAACACAAGATTCTCACAATGAACTAAAACAAGATAATTAGCTTACTTGTTTTTTTGTGTGATAAAACAAGATAATTTGCGTACTTATTTTTTGTGATAAAACATTGGAAATTAGCCTATTGTTTTATCTGATAAAACATGATAATTAGCCTACTTGGTTTTTTTTTGTGTTAAAACAAGAAAATTAGCCTACATGTTTTTTCTGGTAAAACAAGATAATTAGCCTACATGTTTTTTTTCTGGTAAAACAAGATAATTAGCCTATTGTTTTTTCTGGTAAAACAAGATAATTAGCCTACATGTTTTTTCTGGTAAAACAAGATAATTAGCCTACATGTTTTTTCTGGTAAAACAAGATAATTAGCCTACATGTTTTTTCTGGTAAAACAAGATAATTAGCCTATTGTTTTTTCTGGTAAAACAAGATAATTAGCCTACATGTTTTTTCTGGTAAAACAAGATAATTAGCCTACATGTTTTTTCTGGTAAAACAAGATAATTAGCCTATTGTTTTTTCTGGTAAAACAAGATAATTAGCCTATTGTTTTTTCTGGTAAAACAAGATAATTAGCCTACATGTTTTTTCTGGTAAAACAAGATAATTAGCCTATTGTTTTTTCTGGTAAAACAAGATAATTAGCCTACATGTTTTTTCTGGTAAAACAAGATAATTAGCCTATTGTTTTTTCTGGTAAAACAAGATAATTAGCCTACATGTTTTTTCTGGTAAAACAAGATAATTAGCCTACATGTTTTTTCTGGTAAAACAAGATAATTAGCCTACATGTTTTTTCTGGTAAAACAAGATAATTAGCCTATTGTTTTTTCTGATAAAACAAGATAATTATCCTACTTGTTTTTTCTGGTAAAACAAGATAATTAGCCTATTGTTTTTTCTGATAAAACAAGATAATTAGCCTACTTGTTTTTTGTGATAAAACAAGATAATTATCCTACTTGTTTTTTTCTGATAAAAGATAATTATCCTACTTGTTTTTTCTGATAAAAGATAATTATCCTACTTGTTTTTTCTGATAAAACAAGATAATTATCCTACTTGTTTTTTCTGATGTCACTGATCCCATTTTTCCCATATCCCAGTCTCTCCATGGGATTGTCCCTACAGAGTTTTTTAATCAACACGTGTGCGCTCCTGCTGATTTTCTTTGGGAACTCGATGTGGTCAACACCCTTGAGGATGATGTTGTAGGTCCTCATAGGGTCGGACCCTGAAAACGGGGGTCTGAAAAAAATGGTAAATTTTTATTTATAGCATAAATCTAACAAAACTAGGTGCCACAGTGCACACAATGATGAGCTTAGTGTTTTTTTTTGTAGGAATAGAAACCGAAGAAAAACTAAATGCAACACTGCACACAATGATAAGCTTATTGTTTTTTTTTGTAGGAATAGAAACCGAAAAAAAACTAAATGCAACACTGCACAAAATGATTGTTTTTTTTGTGTGTGTGTAGGAATAGAATAGCTTATATGAACAACATTTTCCAAGCGAAAATGTGTAAACAATGATCAAAATAATTAATAATCCATAAATCTTAAAATCGTGATTTCAATTAGAATTTTAAAAAATCTACGATTAATAATTAAGAAATATAGACCAAAAATGTCAACTAAACCCCGTCATGTTAGTTTCAGCAGCATAGACCAAAAATGTCAAATAAACCCCGTCAAGTTAGTTTCAGCAGCATAGACCAAAAATGTCAAATAAACCCCGTCAAGTTAGTTTCAGCAGCATAGACCAAAAATGTCAAATAAACCCCGTCAAGTTAGTTTCAGCAGCATAGACCAAAAATGTCAAATAAACCCCGTCAAGTTAGTTTCAGCAGCATAGACCAAAAATGTCAAATAAACCCCGTCAAGTTAGTTTCAGCAGCATAGACCAAAAATGTCAAATAAACCCCGTCAAGTTAGTTTCAGCAGCATAGACCAAAAATGTCAAATAAACCCCGTCAAGTTAGTTTCAGCAGCATAGACCAAAAATGTCAAATAAACCCCGTCAAGTTAGTTTCAGCAGCATAGACCAAAAATGTCAAATAAACCCCGTCAAGTTAGTTTCAGCAGCATAGACCAAAAATGTCAAATAAACCCCGTCAAGTTAGTTTCAGCAACATTCAGGCCGTCATTGTAAACAAAACTTAGGTTTAGAGCTGAGTTGTGTATATGTTAACTGTCGAAACATTTGGATCAACATTAAACAAATCTACAGTTTTATACACACTGTACAGAGTATGAAAATGTACTATCAAAATGTTGACTTACGTGCCGTTCAATGTACAGAGTATGAAAAAGTACTATCAAAATGTTGACTTACGTGCCGTTCAATGTACAGAGTATGAAAAAGTACTATCAAACTGTGGACTTACGTGCCGTTCAATGTACAGAGTATGAAAAAGTACTATCAAACTGTGGACTTACGTGCCGTTCAATGTACAGAGTAAAAAAAAGTACTATCAAAATGTGGACTTACGTGCCGTTCAAGAGCTCGAACATCAGAATCCCCAGTGACCAGTAGTCGGCAGAGTGGTCGTGGCCCTTGTTCAGGATAATCTCAGGCGCCACGTACTCGGGAGTTCCACAGAACGTCCATGTCTTCTTGCCCACCCCGATCTTCTTCGCGAACCCGAAGTCTACCTGCAAGATTCACAAGAAACTGCACGCTCAGGTTTAGATGCTGCACAAGCTGTAAAGTATGGAGCCCTACACTACATTTGGAATACAGGCTTTCTCTACCACAGGGGCACTGCTCGAGAAAATGAATGCCAAACTGCCTAATTTACGTATTTTCTAAATTTGTTATTATTAGTATTTGTTAAAAAAATTACTTTATTTCATGCTTTATTATGCATTCCCATCTTGGCTACAGTTCACCCCGGTGATTTAAAAAAAAAGTTTTGTTCCAGTTATTTCCCATGATACATAAATAACACATTTAAGATTTATTACGCCCCTTATTACAGTATCCATTAGCTTCTACTAACCACTTCAATAAACAACCGATAGCCTCCCTTACTAAAAAAAATTGGAATTTGTTTTTTTATTACCAGTTGAAAATCAATATGTGCACTGATCATCTTAGGATACACACAACGACTGTTATAAAACACTTGCCACCAGCCTTCCCCTACACCACTGGGACGTCCCTTACCTCCCCTACACCAGTGGGTTGTCCCTTACCTCCCCTACACACCACTTGGGTGGTCCCTTACCACCACTTGACATCTAAATACAAAATAACAAGTTCTCCCACCACTTAACCCCTAAACAAAAATTAACAAGTTCTCCCCACCATTTGACACCTAAACACAAAATGACAAGTTCTCCCCACCACTTGACACCTAAACACAAAAGGTCAAGTTCTCCCCACTACATGACATCTATGACACCTAAACACAAAATAACAAGTTCTCCCCACCAATTTGACATCTATGACATCTAAACACAAAACGACAAGTTCTCCCCACCAATTGACATCTATGACATCTAAACACAAAATGACAAGTTCTCCCCACCAATTTGACATATCCTCTGGCATCGAGCAGCAAGTTCTCCGGCTTAAGGTCCCTGTAGATGATGCCTTTAGCGTGGAGATACGAGAAAGCTTCTAGAACACACGCCACACAAAATCTCGCTGTTAGGTCATCGAAATGTCCCCTGGAAGTAGATTTAAAAAGTCGTGTTATCAAACTATCTGAAATGTCCCATGAAAGTCGATTTTAAAACAGACATGTTATCAAATTATTCGAAATTTCCATTGGAAGTAGATTTTAAAAAGTCGTGTGATCAAACTTTTCGAAATGTCCCATGAAAGTCGATTTTAAAACAGTCGTGTTATCAAACTATTCGAAATGTCCCATGAAAGTCGATTTTAAAACAGTCGTGATATTAAACTATTCGAAATGACCGCTAGAATTAGATGTTTAAAAGTAGCTTTATCAAACTGCTTTAGATAACTAAATCTACAGAAAAAGAAAGTGTATTTTAAGAGAATCTGGAGGAGTGAAATACGTTTTCGGCCGAATTTCAATGTCAAAAAGAACAACAATGGACAGAACTTATCAAGTCGTAGAATGTATCCACAAATTGTTTTAGTAAATAAAACAGGCTTCTTGAGTTTAATATTTAAAAATGGTACAGCTAAATATAGGCTGCCGTAGCAAGCGTCATATGTAAATATAACATTTCTGATCAACAGTAAATATTGGATGTGATGAACCAGAGTTTATCAGAAACGAATATAAAGTTAGTTGGTATCAGTTGTGTAAGAAATAGACCCGTTGATCGCTCCGTTTTCAGACATAGTAGAAAGGCTGGGCGCAGACTAATCGAAGACCATTAAAGGTGGAACCGATTTTTTTTTTCTGGAGACTATCGGCTTGTGGTTTATTTCGGGGATCTTAAAACTATTATTACGGTAATTTGTTAGAATTAGAGCTTCATTGAGTCAGCAAGTTCTAGTCAAAAATAGAATTTAAGTTTTGTCTGTAGTACCTGTACGCAACTAGTCCCTGTAACCAGTCCCTATATCCAACCAATCCATGTACTTAACCAGTTTAACTATTCCCTACACCCAGCCAGTCCCTACACCCAACCAGTTAGTACCCCAACCAGTCCCTGTACCTAACCAGTCCCTGTACCTAACCAGTCCCTGTACCTAACCAGTCCCTGTACCTAACCAGTCCCTGTACCTAACCAGTCCCTGTACTCAACCAGTCCCTGTACCCAACCAGTCCCTGTACCCAACCAGTCCCTGTACCCAACCAGTCCCTGTACCCAACCAGTCCCTGTACCCAACCAGTCCATGTACCCAACCAGTCCCTGTACCCAACCAGTCCCTGTACCCAACCAGTCCCTGTACCCAACCAGTCCCTGTACCCAACCAGTCCCTGTACCCAACCAGTCCCTGTACCCAACCAGTCCCTGTACCCAACCAGTCCCTGTACCTAACCAGTCCCTGTACCTAACCAGTCCCTATACTCAACCAGTCCCTGTACCCAACCAGTCCCTGTACCCAACCAATCCCTGTACCCAACCAGTCCCTGTACCCAACCAGTCCATGTACCCAACCAGTCCCTGTACCCAACCAGTCCCTGTACCCAACCAGTCCCTATACCCAACCAGTCCCTAAACCCAACCAGTCCCTAAACCCAACCAGTCCCTGTACCCAACCAGTCCCTGTACCCAACCAGTCCCTGTACCCAACCAGTCCCTGTACCCAACCAGTCCCTGTACCCCACCAGTCCACGTGACCAACATTCAAGCAGACTTCAACCCAAAAAAAAAACGCGCCGAGTAACAAGTTCGCCCGACCCTCCAGGGACCGCATTAGTGATCACGTGTGGCCCAGAAAAGAAAACTTTACTCAGTAACATCGCCCTTAAGCCGAAAAATGAGCCAGGATTTAAAAGAATAATCGCCGGCTTAAGAAGAGTATAAAAAAACTATTTAAAAAAATATGAAACTTGAAGTTGTGAGAAAATCTGGCCAAGTAATGGAATAGTCAGTCCTCTTCTTGTATGGTATTTGCCAGAGTGGATTTACTTTTTGAAAATAAGATTTGAATGATAGAATCAGACTTTCTCTAGAAAAATAAATATTCAGTTTGAGTGTTTTTACTGGCGGGGAAATCCCAAATACGTCACTTCATGACATAGGATTACACAGCCAAGAAGAAAAAATAAATAGGAAAAAAATGGGAGAAAGTCAGGTCACGTGTTCCAATAGAACTCTAAGTCTACATAAAGATAGATCTGGATGCCAACATTCAACAGGAAGATTTTGGTAGTAGTCGCAGGGGAAGAAAAAAAACAACTTTTTTATCTTGGTTAATTAATACACGGCAGGTCATGAAACTTGGATCAGATATATCTCCGTGCGGTCGTTCGATGTCTAGCATTAGGAAATAATTAAATATATAAGGAAATAATAAAGTGATATAGGAGTAGTAAAATATATGAGAAAACAAACGGGAACTCTACAAATATTTAAAATGTAATAGAAACGTGACCTATAAAAATAACAAAAATTTGAAAGAAAACGACAAAGAGTAAAAAAGTAAGGGAAAAATCTAAATATAGAAATAACTAAAATGTTAATTAAAAAATAACAAAAATGTAAGAGAACATGTGAACTATAGATATAACCAAAATATAAGAGAAAATGTGAAATATAGATATAACCAAAATGTAAGAGAATATGTGAACTATAGATATAACCCAAATGTAAGAGACAGAGGAAGTATAAAAACAAGCCAAATGTAAGAGAAAAGAGGATATATAAAAACAAGCCAAATGTAAGAGACAAGAGGACTAAAATGTAAGAGAATACGTGAACTATAAAAACAACCAACAAATGTAAGAGACAAGAGGAAGTATAAAAACAACTAAAATGTAAGAGACAAGAGGACGTATAAAAACAAGCAAAATGTAGGAGAATGTGTGAATCAAATGTTAGAGACAAGAGGACGTATAAAAACAACCAAAATGTAAGAGAATGTGTGAACTATAATATAACCCAAATGTAAGAGACAAGTCACCTATCCCTGAGTATGGTCCACAATTCTCCTCCTAGACAGACCTCCATTAACATATAAACATATTTCTTGTCCCTGAATGTCTTGTGAAGTCTGAAATGTAAAAAAATTATGTAAATAGATCAACAGTCGAATGTAAATACAGCCGTACTTGTAAATGTAGGCCTACACCCAGGACCCTTTTTTTTTTACTGTCTGGGACATTTCGTTCTTTAAATAACATTTCAATCATCTTGTTTTAAGCAAATGTTAAAATGGGTTCGAAAAAAGGTAGTGGTGGTGGTGGTAGGGTTGGCTCACTTGCGTTTAAATAGGTCTAAATTTACAGTGGTCGCTTTTTTAAAAAAAAGTACACAACGCAGTTAAATACAAGTTAAATAATGCTGTACAAACCCTTTATACAACACTGCATTAGGAATAAACCATCTTACAGCTAAACTTGCCTCAGAAAAACTTTCTTTACACAACCCTGTTTTAAACCCCTCTTGCACTAAACCCTACTTAACAAATATCTTCTACAAAGAACCATATTTAAGAAATCCTTCCACGCTAAACCCCAACACACAAAACCCTTCTTTATACAACCCAGCCTAAATATAAAGAATGCGACCTTAAATTCTTCTTCACACACACACAAAAAAAGAAAAACACTACTGCATACTAAAATAGGGATTCGGGTAGTGAATATTTTTAACAGTTTTAACATATTTCTACCCATTACTTTATGGGAAAGGAAATTCGGTTCGACGCAGAAAATTTCAAATATTCTTGATGATCAATGTAGGGTAGGGGTGGTGTGAAGACATAATAAATAATTGTTGTAGTGAACAATAACTTATGGCTATAACTGCGGAGTCTTTTACTGGGAGTAAATACATTTTATATCGCTAGAGAGTAAAGTGAAGTAGGGTGGGGAAATGTGGGTTGGAGCAGTGGCGCGGCGAGGTCGGGTGTCACCCGGTGCGGCACTTAATGGTGTCACCCCCCACCCCCAGAGGCGTAGCGACCCTTCCCGGGCAGTGTTTCTTCCAGACTTTTTTCTCCGGGGGGGGCACTTGAAATCTTCGGGGGGGGGGGCAGTAAACTTTCTTCGGGGGGCGGACACTGTTAAAAGTATATATTTTCTATATAAATTATATAAATTTCATTTCGTTCGGAGGGGCGGTAAAAAATTTTCGGGGGGGGGGCGAAGCCCCCCCCCCCCGAAGAGATGCCTGGAAGAGACTCTGTTCCCGGGGACAAACTTTCAAATTTTCGATTTGCACCCCCCTCAAGTTTTATTTTTATATATATATTTTTTTTTTTGCCTTGGTGTCACCCCCCTAATTGGTGTCACCCGGTGTGGTCCGCACCCCGCCCCCCCTCGCTACGCCTCTGGGTTGGAGTACTTGATAACAACTAAGTATAACTACAAGTTGTTCTGTGGCCGATAACTAAGTTTATTATCCATGTGGAATGCTTCCATCATAATTTTTCTTTCTAGGCGTACAGTGGAAACATATACATGAAGGATGGAGTTTAGAGTAGGAGGGGGTATAACGATAAGTATGACGTACTGTTTGCGATCAATGACTCACTTTGTTATGAAGGTTGAATCTGCTTCCATCATGATTTTTTTCTCCGAGTAAATGTGTTCTTGCTGTCTAGTCTCGACTATGTGTTTCTTCTTCAGACATTTCAGCGCGAATGTTTTCGATTTGTCTTTGATCAGCTGGACCTGGTGGTTCAATAAATACGTTATACACTTGACGTTATGGCGAGTTTAAAGCATACCGTTGGTGTAACTAGAAACGTTATAGTTATTCAGTTGTATTATTGTGAATATGGATTAATATAAAGTGTGAATTTTAATGTTGTTTAAAGAATGTTGTGTTGGATTAGAAAGATTAATATCAAGTTAAGAACAATAATTATTTTGTATCCGAGAATGTTTGTTTCTATAAACAAGGGGCGGGGAGAGCGTACTTCAGCCGCATTGATTTGAGTGGTAGCCTAAGTTAAGAATGATACTTTGAAAACTTATGAGTGAGTTACGATAAGGGCATTTTAACACTCAGGAAAAGGGAGTGAAAATTGCTATTATGGCAAGTCAACACCTCCAAAGGCATAAAACCCTCAATATTTATCTGGCCGCTCACCAACCCCACTCGACCAAAACCTCCCATCCCAAATATCTATCTGGCCACTCACCAACTCCACTCGACCAAAACCTCCAACCCCAAATATTTATCTGGCCAACTCACCAACTCCACTCGACCAAAACCTCCCATCCCAAATATTTATCTGGCCACTCACCAACTCCAACAGACCAAAACCTCCCATCCCAAATATTTATCTGGCCACTCACCAACTCTACCCTACCAAAACCTCCCATCCCAAATATTTATCTGGCAACTCACCAACTCCACCCGACCAAAACCTCCCATCCCAAATATTTATCTGGCCACTCACCAACTCTACCCTACCAAAACCTCCCATCCCAAATATTTATCTGGCAACTCACCAACTCCACCCGACCAAAACCTCCCAACCCAAATATTTATCTGGCAACTCACCAACTCCACCCGACCAAAACCTCCCATCCCTAACGTAGTCACCAACTGTAGATCGTCTAGCGTTATATTCTCAAACTCCTTCGACACGGGTCTATCGGCAACTGGTGATACTGTTGAGTCACTCCCACTTCGCCTGCAGAGAAAGTAAACAGACATGAGTTACCTCTGTATATGGAGAGAACATCTGTATGTCATCCTAAAAATGTTTAACTAATTTTAAATCTTTGTAATAATGTAAAAATATTAAGTTTAGCTAATTTAGAATAATACACTATTTGCAATTGTTATGTTTTTAAAAATATATTAAAAAAACATTTAGTTTTTAAGGAACTGTGTTTCAACACTTAATTTTACTAAAAGTATATTTCGTATTTTGTAATTTTAACATACAAGTCGTGTTAAATTCTTTTTTTCAAATAAAAACAAGAAAAGGAATAGAAAAAAATAGCAATATGCAGAGTAGCACAGAGCAAGTGTACATATTAGATATGTACATGCTGACACATAAAGAGATGTGTACCAAGCCAAAAACAGTGAGATGTGTACAAGCCAAAAACAGTGAGATGTGTACATGCCAGCCAAAACAGAGATAAGTAGAACCCTAACACATAAAGATGTGTACAGAACAAATACAACAGTGTGTACAGAAGAAAAACACTCTGTGATGTATACTAGACAAACACATATGTGTACAAGGCATCGACACTAAGATGTGTACAGCCACAGTGAGATGTGTACAGCCACAGTGAGATGTGTACAAAAAATCCACATAGAGAAGTGTACAAGACATTTACACTAAGATGTGTACACGACAAAAACGCTGTGATATGTAATACATTCAGATGTATTCACGTGTAGCTCATTATGTTCAAGACAGACATATGTGTAGAAGACAGACACATGTGTAGAAACCTAACTCACTGATGTATGAGCCACACATCTAGTTATCTTTTATTGAACACACATATTTCATAGTGACCAAGAATGTTAGAAAGTCCTAAACAGTTGAAGATGCCAAACATGCAACTTCGATTTTACATTTGTAGATAGACAAGCGAGTTTGATTACAATTTAACATTATTTACTTTAATCATTTGTAGGTCTAATAGTATGTTTCCACATAATTCTTTAGATATCAATAATATTTTAGTTTATTAAATAAAAAATAGCATGCTATCTAACTACTTGAGTTAAGCAAAACAAAATGAGTTAAAATACACACGATCCGGTCACATATAGAAAAGTAAGAAATCAAGTTGTAAAAAGAAATAATTAATTGCAAAAGGCAATACTGCTATTAAATTTTCAAACACTAAGATTTAGGTTTTAGTATGCGTCATGTTTTGGAACAGCTACTACAATCTGACTAGGGTTAATTAAGAAAAAAAAGTTAAAAATTAAATAAAACGTTATGTAACATAAAAAATGTGTGAACACATTGCACCCTATATCATAATATAACTTAAATACTAGAACGACGAAACCCGACCATAGCCATTTCTGTTTCAACTAACGACATAACCCTAAATTGGATACTGTTCTTTAAATAATAAATGAATACCACCATTCCGCTGGGTAGGCCTATATCCTAGCTGTATTGTAAGTCTGAAATTATTACTGCATTACTGCAAGACGATTATATATATATATATATATATATATATATATATATATATATATATATATATATATATATATATATATATATATATATATATATATATATATATAATAAATCCTATACGACAACTCCATCAAGAAAATTGATCACCAAAGTAAAGCTACTATTTCTTGTTCTAGTAGTACAATCATAAATGTGACAAATTAATTATGTAATAATCCCCTTCAGTTCTTAAATCTGAAAATAGCCAAACACTGCGTTATTTGAAGAAGAGCCCGTATTACTACTTAGGAAAACTCACATTACTTTTTCAAGTGAAAAAAAACGGTTTATTTTTTTTTTTAATATAAAAACGAACTACACATTTATTAACTTAAATACAGAGCCCATATTTCTAGAGCTAAAGCCCTATTTCTAAAAAGTTCCATTTTGTCTTGTGTTCAAGTTAGAGAGAAGCCGGTTCAAACGGTGCTAAGCATGATAGATAGCAATATTGCTATTTTTAGAACTGTCAAATCGAGGCTCTGTCCTCACATATGGCCTACACGGGGTAGATTCTAGAATGGATTAGAAATAAATCCCCGCCATTTGGGGTAAGAAAAACAGCGGTTGGCAACTTCTCATCTGTTAGCTGGACAAGACAGTAATCATTTGTATAGGCCAACTCTGTAGATGTACCAGCGATAAGAAATGTTGTGGTAGGCAGTGATCAGCACTACTCCTGTAGGTCAGCTTGGGTTGAGAGGACTTTTATTAAAGTGTAGCTAAGTGTAGCTAAGAGATCGTTCGTGTTTGAAAAGAAAAATAAGTGTAGGCCTATTGTTTTATCTTTCATGTAAACAGAGTTTCTTCCAGGCATCTTTTCGGGTGGGGGGAGCCCTCAAAAGAAAGTCTACCGCCCCGCCCCCCCCCCCCCGGACGAGACGAGATGGAATTTATAGAGTAAATATATACTTTTACTAGTGTCCCGTCCGTCGTCTCGTCCCGTCCCCCCCCCCCCCCCCCCGAATATGTAAACCGCCCTCCTGAAAATATTAAGTGCCCCCCCCCCTCCGAGGAAAAAGTCTGGAAGAAACACTGCGTGTAATGTTTTATATTGGTTGCCTAATACATAAACAATTGATCTATTAAATTGAATTGAATAGCTGCGATGTCACATTTACAAGAGAATAAGAAAAAATTCAAGTTAGAAGATGCGAATTTAAAAAAAAAAAGATTTTGGTGAAAAAAAAATGGAACATGGGTTGTGAGAGATTTTAAAAAAAAACAGAGTAAAAAATAAAGGGAAAAAAAATGTGAGAAATTAGAAGAAATAAATAGCGGTAAGCATGACGGATAGATAAGAGATTAAACAAAATAATACAGGGATTTGGGAGTCGGGGTAAAACTGGAATGAAATTAAAAGAGCGGATACTATAACCCTTATAGGCTACTCTAGTAATCCAATAAAACTTAGGTAATTACATTAAATACCAGTAATTAAATCAAATGCCAGAATATTTATAGCTTTTATAATTTAATTAACGGAGGGAGATTTCGATAAGGGTACAGTTAATGTGAAGGTCAGATAGGAATGGGAGATGGGGGGGGGGGGGAGAAGCCTGGGTTAGGCGATGACTAATGTCGTAGCCTTAATTTACTCCTTAAAATAACCGCCGGTTTAATTAAATTTGTTTTATTTCATTAGCGCTTGTCGTCTTAAATTAAATGTCTGAAAATGTTTAAAAGTACTGACCCAGTAATCATTAATTTAAGATAGCTGGTGGTGTTTTTTTCGTTACTTTAAAATAGTGACATACTATTTACTAGACGTATATCTCTATGGAAGTTGTATTTTCCTTTTAAAATTATTATTCATTTATTTTAATTAAATTTTCAGATTTAATTATTTTTATTTTACATATATAATTGTCACAATTAGCTGTTGAGTTCTGATAAGCTATTTTCTGACATAAAGAGATAGATTTGCCAGAATATTATTAATATTTTTTCAGCACCACCTGTTTGTAAACAAATAAATTAGCATCCTTATAAAAAGCCCCCCCCCCCCCGGTTTATTCTACACAACTAAGCGACACAACTACAGTTCAAGGGACGTAATCGAACTAAAGCATGGACCCATCTATAATAATAGTTTCGCTGTCTGTCTATCTATCTATCTATCTATCTATCTATCTATCTATCTATCTATCTGTCTGACAAGAACGCTCTAGAGAAAACACAAGGAATTTAAAAACCTGCACAGTAATCGAAAAACGAAATATGACGTCGACACATTTAGCGTAGAGTAGAACATAATCTCAAACCAGAGAGTGCACACAGTAATGTAATGACGTCATTGAAACATTGAAAAAAAGGAAATGTTGTCTAATCTAAATGGTTTGCGTGAAGAGTTTCTTGCATACAATTCTTCGGGTAGGGGCGAAGCCCCACCCCCGCGTAAGAACGTCTGAGGGGGGTGGGGGGTGGGGGGGGTTGAGTGGGGGGGTGGTTTTAATTTAGACTTTTTCCTCCCCGGAGAGGGGTGGGGGTACTTGAAATTTTCGGGGGCGGGGGTAGAATTTTCGGGGAGGGGCGGACACTGGAAAAAGTATATAATTATATTTCGTTAAATGGGACGGTAGACATGTTTTTTTAGGGGGGGGGGGGGGGTTGTGGGTGGGGGGTGGGGGGAGGGGGGGGGTGTGTGGGGGGGGGGGATGGGGGGTGAGTGGGGGGGGGGGGTGGTTTTAATTTAGACTTTTTCCTCCCCGGAGAGGGGTGGGGGTACTTGAAATTTTCGGGGGCGGGGGTAGAATTTTCGGGGAGGGGGCGGACACTGGAAAAAGTATATAATTATATTTTGTTGAATGGGACGGTAGACATGCTTTTTTGGGGGGGGGGGGGGGGGGGGTGGGGGGTGGGGGGGGTGGTGGTGTGTGTGTGTGTGGGGGGGGGGGGTGGGGGTGAGTGGGGGGGTGGTTTTAATTTAGACTTTTTCCTCCCCGGAGAGGGGTGAGGGTACTTGAAAATTTCGGGGGCGGGTGTAGAATTTTCGGGGAGGGGGCGGACACTGGAAAAAGTATATAATTATATTTCGTTGAATGGGACGGTAGACATGTTTTTTTTTGGGGGGGGGGGTGGGGGGTGGGGGGTGGGGGGTGGGGGGTGTGTGGGGTGGTGTGTGTAGGGGTGGGGGTGGGGGGGGGTGGTGTGTGGGGGGGTGGTGTGTGTGGGGGGTGGGGGGTTGGGGTGGTGTGGGTGGGGGTGTGGGTGGGGGTGGGGGTGGTGTGTGTGGGGGGGTGGTTTTTGTTTAGAGAAAAGAGACAGCACTATCAACCTAGCGCCCGGTGTATCCTTCCTCAACGGGCCATTTTTCTCGTGAGATAGATAATAGGGCGATCAATACACCGGGAGATTGCAAACCTCTCGTCGACGTGAAGAGAACAAAGAGCAGCCTCGCTTTCGTACGTTACCCTCGGTTCTATAATTAGAATACAAAAGGGAATCTAACATCTGGTTTTTCTATTGGC